CAGCACCATGGAGGAAATGAATGCTCCAGCTTCTTTGAAACAGAACTGATGAAAAGTCCACATCTGCTGTCATGATCCAGACCTTTGCTTTTTTTCCTGCCATATCATCATATTCTGAAACTTGGAGTAAAATCCATAAAAATGCTACACTATAAAATTCTCCATGAAAGATCACTGTATTAACTGCACTGTTCACAGCAAGGCTTACTTTGGCCTGGGTTGCTTCGAAAAGCATCTCAGTGTCATCGATCATCCCACCAGGTAACTTTTCAATGAAGTCAAAACAGATGCCACGCTGTGAAAAGAAAGGTAACACTTTCCGGAGCAATAATTCTGTTTGACTGCCAGTGCTAACATAAAATATGCCCATCCATGTCCACTGGAAATATAGTAACAGCTGGAGAATCCCATGATATTGATAATCAGCATTTGGGAACATCCAATGGAAGGGAATTGCTTGATTTCGTCTATTCACCTCTGGAGCAGAAGTATATGCAAGCTAATTGAATGCAATTGGAAAAGCAGAATGAAAGCAAGAAAGCAGAAGGGTTTGCTCCACACACACAAAAAAAGCATTTCCCCCCCAGTAAAACGCTGCATATTTTTATTCCTATGATTGTGTTGCTTGAAATAGACTGGGAGCATAGACTGATGTTAATAAAATTTTGACATCATATGACCACGAGTTAGTTACAGACATGCTAGTGTGACCAAAAGAGGAAGGTGACATTTATCCAGGTTTCCTGGAGAAATAATACTGGCCTGCCAGTACCCACCCCGCAGATCTCAAAGTCTTTCCTATCTAATGGGAAAAGGAATTGTGGACAATTTCTTCATTTTTTTTTCTTGTTTGCTGTTCATGGAAAAAAACCCACCTGTGCAATCTTGTATTGACTCAGAATAGTTGCTATGTCAAGAAAATCATTGGAGTTAGGTCCTCCAAAGACTGCTACCAGATTATTCTTGAAATCACATTTATAGTTTGGGATGAATCTGTCTGGTGTAGAGAGAATTTCCATTGTAGCTGCGTATGTAAGTTTTGGATTAAAAAAGTTGTTATAGATGTTGAAGCCAAGGGTGACATTGGTTAAAATCTGGGGATTTCCATTAATCTCCTTTACAGCAAATACGAGAGCCAAGATGTGTTGATAGG